CACTCAGTTTTATGTGCAGTAGATCTAGGCTTCATTTTAACACTGCTTCTTGATTTTCTCCTAATAACAAGTACCCAATATATAAATAAATAACTAATAGTGTAATCCTTACATGTATACAATGAACAAAACAAGAGATACTACTATGATTCCAGTTAAAAGTATAAGTACAAGAGCTACACTAACACCAATAGCAACTTCTAAATAAAATATCACATGTACATAAGTACATGCATACAACTGGTATACCTTGATTACTGCCATTATCAGATACTGTATCTGTTGGTAGCTCTAGTGTCTCATTAGCAATAACTGTCCATTCTCCATATCCATTATCAGTGTATGCACGTACACCAAAAATATAACAAGACATATCATTAAGACCAGTAATGTTAATAAATGTATTGCCATTGGTTGAATTAGAGAACTGTAGTCTTTGAATATCAATGTCATCATCATCTACCATTGAACAGTTACCAGACTCTAAGATATGATATCCTATCTCATATGTGATAATGGGATAGTCTGATGGAATATAACTAGGTACACTCCATGAGATAACAGCCCATGTAGTGTCCATCATACTGGATACTGAACCAACTGGACCAGGTACTAAATAAAAACACATTCTCACACAACTGATATAGTATAATAATTATATACCTATTCCAATCTCTACTTCAATAGGATCACTGAAGGGACCTCTTCCAACAGAATTGACAGCAGCTACACTGATGTTATACTCAGTACCAAATACTAGATCATTCAATATGATATATCTCTCAGTACTGGTGAGGTTGTATGTGATACTACTGTTACTGATAATCACTGTATAGCTTGTGATTGGACCATTACGCTCAGAACAATTGACCTCATTCCAAGTGAATCTATTAGCTGTAGAATTAACTTGTAATACTTGAATTAATAAAGGCCAACCACTAGGAACTAAAAATTACAATTACTTAAATTAGCAAAATAGAAATAATATCATTACTTCTTGCGTCAGTTTGTACAGTGCTCATGCTTAATTCAGATCCTCCTAGTACATTACCAGCTCTCACTGTGATGGTATAGTCCATACCACTGTACAGACCTATTAATGTATAACTGTATGTTGTAGTGGACTGATGAGGACCAACAGAAACTGTCTCATTCACTGATGATAACTCCAGACAAGATGGAGTATAGGAGATGGTGTAGTATGTTACATAGTTGTCACTACTGGGAATAGTCCAGTTCACTGTAATACCAGTGGTTGAGACATTAGATACTGAGAGACTAGTTACTGGACTAGGAACTACAACACATATCAATTACACTCTCTCAATCATAATAACTCACCATCAAATCTTAACACTGTTACTGTATTATTAACTGAAGGAAGATCTATATATGAGTACACACTGATGGTATAGGTACTCATTGGTGAGAGATCTGTTAGTACAATTTCCTCTTCACTAGTAGATACTACATTCCTGGTTGCATCTCCAGTAGTATACTCAATCACATATCCATTAGTCTCTGATGAATTGGTCCAGTTCACTTTGATACCATTAGGATTTAATAAAAACCCTCTCACATTATTTGGAGGACCACTAGGAGCTAGAAAGGAAAAAAGGTACCTACTATTGATTAAAGTATAATCATACCATGTAATATCACAGATTGACTGTAGTTGACTCCTCCAATCATTGCTATACAGGTAACATTAACTGACACTCCCAGTGGATCAGGATATACCAGTAGTGTGTTGTTGTATGTCAGGACATCAATTGATGTATACATTGAGTTATTCTTCATCACTCCCTTCACTAACCAGTAAACATCAGTTGAAGAATTTATATCAGTTGTGAGACAATCAATACGATATTGAGTGTTATTGAGTTGTGTAATGGATGAGACTAGTGTCCAATTGATTGAACTAATAACTAGAAATACATCAACAATGTTACAAGTACATTAAAAGGTATAGTAGCAATACCTGGTAAGGTCTGTACACTGATTGTACTAGCAGGTCCCAGTAATTGTTGATAGGCTCTGACTGTGATGCTATAAGTTGTTCCTCCTCTCAGTCCATTCAGTGTGATTGTATTATTACTACTTCCCTTTACCTGTACTGTCTGCACAGTGTCTGTGTCACTAGTGACATTGACTACATATCCATCAGCATCAGATGAATCAAGTACTGTCCAACTGACAGTGATAGTAGTAGTTGTCTTGTTGACCTCAGTAAGAGAAGAGGGAGCAGTTGCTGGTACTAAAAGATAATACTAAAAATGTGAATCATCAACTGACCTTACCTTTTATGGTTAAAGTACGTGTTCTAGTAGGTTGATCAGTAACTTCCACTACACACTGATACATTTGATCTCCAGTGGTTGATTGACTGATTGATCCACTACTGACATTCATTCCATCCCATGT